AGTAATCAGAGAATGGAAGCATCAATAAGCCAGGTCCTTCATAGCTATAAAAACATAATGTTACAGGAAAGAGGAGAGAGCTTTGGAAAAATACAAATACCCATCCCCACACTGAATATCTGTATCTACAGTACCAAACTTTTATTGAAAAGAAATTCAGAGGTATCATCCATCATTACTGGCTTGTGTTGTTGATGAAAGGTTTTCCCATAAAAAAATGACTGATCACATGTAAAAACTGACATCCTGTTGGTCAATCATTTAATTTTTAACGCATTTGAAAACTCCAAAGATCAAGCTTTCTCTGAATAAAAAAAATTACAGATCACAACAACATGAATTTTTCAGATCTTGGTGTGAAAGCCGTCATAAAAATACATTTGTTAGTTTCAGAATTATGCAGTTCATTTTTTTTCGTGTGAAAAAATCAGACACTGTTTCAAAAGGCGTTTAATCAGCAGTTATATCCCTTCAGGATCCTAGGTGATTTCAGAAAAATAAAGAAATAATAAAGAAATATTAGGAGAAGTGAAAGGTGAATTGATGGAGAAACTCCACAAAGGAGTTGTACAGACTGCTCAAAATTTTGAAGCTAGTATTTTTTAAAGGAAATGAGGATTGATTTTGGGTGCTAAGGACTATTTTGACATTGTTTATAAATATGAATAATGTTTTAAGCTTTGGTTTCATTGACGTTTCAGCTGCTTATCTTGAGCAAGTTCTCAGAGGGCCTGCAGCCTATCCCAGACAATACAGCGCACAAAACAGGGGTACAACCTAGATGGGATTTGGGGGTACTACCTAGTAGGGGTTAAATCAGAATCAGAGAGGATGGGAACCCTGTCAGGTACAGAGTGGAAGAGGGGGAGTCCTAAACAAGTGGTTCTGTGTATTACTTTATTATTTAAATTTATAATCGCAATCTAAAAGATGCAGTATGTTCATTTGTCAGCATGTTGTTTTATCACTTTGAAGCAATATAAAACGAATTACAGTGGTGCCTGCGGTTCACGAACACGATCCGTTCCAGGAAAGTGGTTGCGAACCAATTTGTACGCGAACCAAGGCAATTTTCCCATAAGAAAGCACTGAAATTCGATTAAGTCGTTCACAAGCCTAGCAAATAATATTTTTTGTTAATTCATTTTCTGGTTTTTATAGTTAAAACATTAAAGAAAAACACAATATAGTGTGGCGACGTGCCGAGCGAGGCATCGCGGGAGCAGAGAGAGACATGGAGACTTGCTTGCTTGTGAAATCATGCGATCTTTATTATCTTGTATTGTTCTTAATGTTAATGGTTGCATTTCCCTATTGTCGCGCGTGTGTTTGCCCTTGTCTTGTGTGTACCCGGTCCGATCCTCACGTGTATTTAGCGTGTATAAATCTTCCACCGTGTGTGCATGTTTCAATTCGGCTTCTGACAACCTTCACCTTGTGTTTCCCATCTGTGTGTGGTTTCGGTGCTCGTTGGGTGCCGGTTGTGATCCTTCTATTTACAATTGCACGCGGGGCATGCTGGGACATGCGCCCCGCAGGTGCTGCACTAGTATAAAAAAGGGAATCTGGTCGAGGAATCTGTCCATCGACCAAATTTTGTACGCGAACCAATGCATTTTTTTCATGAAATTTTGGGTCGCGAACCAAATTCTTTGTAGACCACAGCCTTTGTGAACCGCAGGCACCACTATACATTAGAATTAAGAAACACAAAGAAAAATGGTTAACGGTGAAGAAAGCAGAGGTGTACGTGCTCTGGCAAAGTGCGATGTGGACATAAGGAAGCGGAGCTCGGCTCCATCTGCATTGAAACCCTGGGTACAAGTGAAAGAGTATGAAGTGACAGAATGACGGACTCTCCCCCTGAACTTCTGAATGATCTTGGGATCTTTTTCATGGAAGTGGGAAATTTAGACTGACAGCAGTTTTGTGGGCACTGAGGTCCGGAAGGATGTCAAAGTAGACTGACTTGTTCCTTCAGACTGAGAGAAGTCAGCTGAAGTAGTTTGGATATCTTTTAAGGATGCCACCTGGCTGGCTTCCAAAGGATCTGTTTTGTACATGTATGATCTGAGGAGGACCTGGAATATGCTGGAGGGATTATACTGTAGCTCCTGTCTGGCTTGAGAACATTTAGGGATCCCCCAGAATGAGCTAGAGTCTGTAGCCCCAGAGAACATGGTTTGGGCTGACCTGCTGAGCATGTTGCCGCCATGATCCTAACCTATTGCATGGGATGGGTGGGCCTAGTAAGTCCAGGGCCCACCCAGATGGAATTCAGGCCCACCCATTCAGCAATCACAGTGACACCGTATGATAAAACGATTGTATCTGACAGTTATGTTCATGGGCGTAAATTATGGGGGGGTTGTAGCCCCCCAAATAAATCAAAACCAGCTAATACAACCCCCCCCCAATAATCATGTTTTCCCCGTAATGGGTGGAGACCTCAACCCCCCCCAATGTTCCAGCCAAAGTTATGCCCTTGGTTATGTTTGTGCATGGTTAGAGCAATCGGAGGCAATGTGCAGTTGAGAGGCAAATAGATTTTTCTTTCTCTTAGTAATGCCACGGGTCATTTAAAAACTGGTAATACACACACACACACACACAGTATTCTCCACAATTATTGGGACCCCTTGTAAAGATTTGTAAAAACTCCACCTTTTGTGAAGCACCTTCATGTCGCACTGAAAAGATGAGGGAAATCCAACCTTTTCATTGAAATAAATGTAATCAAAGAAAAACAGGTCCTTCATCATGAAATAATTAATTTCAACAAAAACACATTTGCCATAATTATTGGCACCCCAGGATTTAATACTTTTTACAACCTCTCTTTGCCAAGATAACAGCACTAAGTCTTCTTCTATAACATTCTATAGTTTTGGAGAATACAGATCCTCTTTAAAGAATCTCTCCAGATCATCCGGGTTCCTAGGTCCTCTCTCTTCAGCTCAGCCCACAGGTTTTCAATGGGGTTCAGGTCAGGGGACTGAGACAGCCATGGCTCCATTTAAGTTCATTTTATTTTGACAACAACAAACTGTATGTCACTGCAGGACTTAGATAATGGACACTGGCTTTTTGGCACTATGCAGACGTTACGCCTACAATTCAATAAGCAGAATAGTATTACGCTTAAAATATTAATGAGAGGCGTACTGTGATTCCCAAGAGTTAATAATCCATATAAATCCGGTGTTTCCTTATGCTTAATAAATTCAGTTAGCGAAGTGTGCCGCATGCCACTGTTTTGTTATACCATGAATGTGACAAACAACAAAGTTGCAGTGAAGAAAGGGAGAGTGCAGCAGCCACATCTCTTAAAAGAGGAGATATTGTGAATAAAAAAAGGTAAAATGACGCTGGTGGTGATGGATTCTGCAGTTTAAAGCCTGACACGTTTTTGGTAAATAGGTTTCATTTTTATTTCAGTCCACGAATTATTACTATTTTTCAATTTAGTGGCTGTTTTCCTTCCCATTTCAGTTTACTATAATAACACTGGTACCAACAAGCCCAGCATGCACGACCACACACTGGCACCCTCAGTCAACCAGGAATAAGTCCAGATTCTAGCCTAAATATTTTCACAAACACTCATTCAGTGGAGATTCTAAGGCAGCAGGCAGACAACTTTATGTCTTTAATAATGAGTGTGGCTAGCAGCTACAAGGACAAAAGATTTTTGAAAGCTTCTCCATACTAATAATAAGTAATTTAATAAACATGAATAGACAACACAGTGGTTTTATGTCCTCTGACGGTCCATCATCCAGATTAGCGCATCTCTGCTTCCTCTTCCGGGGCTGCAGTAATATGCCACCAACACTTTGCATGGTGTACAAACCACATTTTATGTTGTGATAATTTGAACTACTCCCATAATTATATAGTAACATTTAAGGAAAACATTTGTTAAATAATAAATTGAAGCGTTTTAGTAATCAAAGGTAATTTCAGTAAAATAATTTTTTTAAATGATGTCGATTTAAAATATTGATGTCTGTGCATTTTCAGTGTTGACATCATCGACTACATAGACAACCTTTTTACCTCTAATGTGATTTCTGTTTATGTTTAACAATGATACATTATTTAACATTTATGACATCAGTGCTTCCTCTACTACAGGGTCATGGGGAGCCTGCAGCCTATCCCATCAGGGTGCCGGTCTGTCACAAGGAAAACACTCACTCACCACCGGCACCAGTTCACCTAATTGCATGTTTTTGGAATGTCAAAGAAAACCAAAGTACACAGAGAAAATTCATATCAACATTAGGACAAAATGCAAATTGTAGAGTGCGACTGAGACCCCCAACCCTGGAGGTATGAACAAGCATGCTGGCCTATTAGTGAAATCAAACAGTGTATTATTGGATATATATGAATCCTGTTTACTAAGCTATAGTAACTTTAATAGAATTGTTGATGTACTGAATTTCTAAAGGGAATTAAGTTTATCTGACCACTTCAGACTAAATTACTAGGGGTTAGGGGACTGCAGTGTAAACGGTAGAGAATACTTGGCTAAACCAGACTTTTTATTACAGGATATACTCTCACACTAAGGACAGTTTGACACCAGTCCAGCTTTGAAACGTAGGAGGAAACCAATGTTAACAAGCGAACTTCAAACACACAGAGCAGAGGACTGCAATCGAAGCAATAAATTGTCAAGAAAAAAGTCTGATGCACTCTTTTGTAATTTAAATGAGAATTATGCAATGTTTAGAGATACATATATATATGGCTCTGGTGTGAAGCTTAGCTACATCAAAATGGTCATTCGCGCCAACTATACTAGGCTGCTTTTCCACTAAGGCAGAAAATGAATCTTTCGATACAGGGCACATGACTAATGCAATGCATGCCAGGCATTATAACTGCACAAGCCGGTTTTCGTTTTTTTTTTTTCTTTTCTTTTCTTTTATATTGTTCTTTGTGCAAAATAATACATTTAAGGAAGACGCGTACAGGTGTAATACTGTTTTCTTCATGCAGCCTTCAGCGAGAAGAGCCCAACCAGCATCTTAGTTGCTCGCATGCCGACGTAGGGATCCGAGGATAACCAATAATGTATGCCGCTGCTGAAGCCCTCACTGCAGCCACACCTAGTGAGGTTTCATCCCGGCGTGGTGGAGAGGGGCGGAGAGACGCAGGGCTGGTAAGGGGCAGAGCGAAGCCCTCAGAGATACCCGATCGCAGCGTCGGCGGAGAGCTGCGGGAAGTTCGCCGGGCACCGTGAGCTGGTGAGCGCCGGTCCTCCATCAGCATAACACGTATGTAATAAATACGATGCGTGTTATTATGAAACTGTTCCATGCTCGTTTTTATGAAGTTGCTGTCGTAGCTGTATATCAGCAGAATGTATCCTGTTTGTCCAACCTGTGATTACATATATGCGCGGCTAGTAGGCTCATAAAATCCATTTTGATTTTTTTTATGGTTTATATTTTTATGTTCTACTCATGGACATACAAAGCTAGCCAGCTATAGAGGAATGCTTTATTGTTTATAAGGGCTGTAACCTTTTGTGAGAAAAGCCACAATACTTGCATTTGCTATCGCGGTTGTTTTTTTATAGTATTATTACTGGCAAGTTCTGTTTTGCTTCAGGCGGATATTATGTCCATTATGTAATTATATAAAAGTAGAGTATTGTTTTCAGGCGTCAGGAATACTATTGTATTGCCGGCCGATTCTTAGTGATATCTTACGCTTGGTAGTTGGACAAAGTATGTTCTGTCATTGCAGCTAGGCGGCTAGGTGGATACTATTATATTTTCATATACTGCATTTGTTTTAGGATGGATGAATGTCATCCCCTTTCGGGTGGGGTCAAGCGTATTTGGACAAAATGGGCACGACCGGTTTGCATATGGAGAAAAAAAAGCGATCTTTTGCAAGATTTATTTTATTGTAGTGACAGCTAGACGGCATTGCCCTGGATATAGGAATCCGCATTTGGTTGCAAGGCCTCCTTAAATACACACAATGCCCATCCAGCTGAACAAAGTGCATATGTTTTTGAAAGCGACTGCTGTCACACTGCATCGATTAGAGGATCTTGACTGAAGGTTGCAGCCGTATAGGTTAATTCTTAGTCTTTCATGCATGTGATAATGAACGTGTGTATATTAGTATGGCGGTGAACGGCTACACCGACAATACGGGGGAGCCGCTTATGCGGTACTTTCCGAGTTTAATTTGACTCATGTTTTAATGGAGATGGGCTTTTGAGATCAACACTGAAATAAATCAGATTATTGTTATTCTTATCAATAGTACCATGTACTTCTAAGAAGGACATGTTTCGATCTTTTGTGTTCTTTTAGAAAGTGGGTGGTGGGTTCTTTTGAAGTAAAGGTTGTGGGTGTGTCTGGGCGTTGTTCGTCCTGTTAAATGTAGTAAATTGTGTAGTATTGAAAATCCATATTTAAGATGAAATCAGTTAAATGCATTTGTTGAATGAAATATTTAAAAAGTTAAAAAATTTGCATGGATGAAATATTTGACAGATTCCGATTGTTGTCACATTTTATACAAATATAGAAAATTATTCACACAATTTATAGCCACGTTTTGATTTTATAGAGGTAGTCTATGGACTTCTTCTCTCTGAAATTTCAGTTAGAGGTTAGTGAATATAGATGTATTTTTTTCTCCATCTAAGTTTGTGAACCTTGGGTTCAGAACCCCTGATTTAGAAGTAAACTATAACAGTTAAAGACCGTAAGAACTTAAACTCCCTGGTACTTATGTGGTTTCTTCATGGTTTCCTTTAATCCCTTTGACTGGGAATAACACTGTAAAACACAGCATTATTGATGCTTGTTCATTCAAATTAAATAGCCAAATCCCCAATGGTTCTTCAGTGTTAGTGATCCTTCACTCTGTTACATTATTTTTATCGGGGAGCTGGATTTGTGACAGAGAATCATCCGTTATGTCCACTTGGCAACAGAAGGCCTATGTGTTGTCTGGAGGGAAGCTCGCATTTGTTCATTGGGTTTAAATCCTGTAGCTTACGCCCAGTGACACTGATTTAATCTATTACAGCACATTCACTCCATACCAGTTGGGTCTCGAATCCTGTGATAATGTTATCTGAGAATTCCAGCTATGGTCTGAGATACTGTATGGACATGCCTTAAGAGATCCAACCCCTCGGTGCTGAAACTGCTTCTGCAAGAGTTTTAACTTTTCTTTTGTTGTCTCATGACTGTGTGCTTCTCACACATCGGAGATTTCGTTCGGAGGCTGGACGATGCACAGCAGGTTCGCAACAGCACACTGAAGTTGTCTCAAAATCGTATCTTGCTCAAATAACTGACAGGCTAATGTCAAAACTGTAATTCTCATCGGAATGCTTCCTGTGGGCGACAGTTGAGTTAGTCTGCTTAAAGGACTGTTCTGTGGATGGTTTTGACATAAGCACTGCCTGTACAGTGTAAATGTGTTCAGCGAGGTCTTTGGAAGGTGGCCGGCAGGGAGAACAGAGCTGAGTCAGTCTCCGGGCGATTCTGGAGCTCTCAGGATCTCCAGCCAGCGCGGCTCGGCTGATGTTTCTCCATTCAGGTTTTAACATGCAGTCAGTCCATTATCTCTTAATGCACTTACGAACAATCGCCCACCCCCCCACCCCCCATATCCAAACAATAGATGTGCTAACGCCCTTCCATTAGATATTCTTCTTGGAAAAAGGAATTAAGATCTGCTGAGTTTGTGACACCCAGAGCAATATTGACCATGGTTCCTCTCTAGGGGCGAACCCAGGATTTTTTCTTTTAGGGGGGACCAGATTCAACCTGAAGGGTTACAGGGTGTATGGGGGTTGGGTCGCAAACAATAACATTTGTATGACATGTTTATGGAAATACGGGACAAAACACTTAATGGATTTTGGAAAAATTATTTTTCAGGGGGACTGAGAGAAAAAAAATAGGGTGGCTGAAGCCCCCCCTAAATAGGGTCTTTTATCACACATGTTCCTCTTGGCGTGTATTTTTCAGCAGGCGGCTGGTGGAGTGATGTCTCAGCACCCGCGTAAATTCTCTTTAAGCAAACACCCTGAATCTTACCCTTTATTCAATGTTCCCCAGAAGGCGAGGCACGTGTCCACGATGGATGGCGGCTCAGGCCCTGCGGTGGTCACTGCACCCCCGACCTCCGTCCCCCACTTCGACCGCGTGGTGGGCAGTCCGGGGGGGAACCTGTTCCACAACCTCCGGCAGGACTTCAACATGATGGAGCAGAGAAAGAGGGTCTCCATGATCCTGCAGAGCCCGGTGAGTCTCTGATCCGCGTGTGTTGTTCCAGTCCATGAGTCACTCTCAGTTCCATACTGCAGAATAGCTAATTGTTACATAGTTTTGTAGGGTGCTGATAGCAAACTAAATCAGTCTTAGCATTGCATGGTTTAAAAGCCACATTTATGTCTAATAAATCATAAGAATTATAGAATTAGTTAATTAATTTAGCATGGCATGAAAGGCTTTTAAAGTTAATTCTCGACAATTTTTAATACTGAATGGCAGATCTCTAAATACCACAGTGCTTTATACGTTCGAAATTCCTTATGGTAACTGTGTTCCTCACTTCCTTCTGATGTAACACAAAGGACTTGTGAAATCGCATTGCTTAATGTAAACAGGAAGTAAACGGGTCCTTTTATGAACAAGGTTGATCTTCTGTTTCAGGCCTTCTGTGAAGAGCTGGAGTCACTGATTCAGGATCAGCTGAACAAAGGGAAGGATGCCACCAACCTGCTGGCCTTGCAGCAAATGGCAGATTTCTTGACCACCAGCATGCCAACTGTGTACCCTATGATCCCCCGGGGGGGCATGGCCACAATCAACATGAGTGAGCATCTCCATCTGCCCGCACCTACCGCAAATGCGCCCTGCTCGTAGCTGCCCTCTAGGGCACTGGGTGATAATAATACAGTAGATATAGCACCACACGGTGCCCTTTGTAATTAGACGATGGCATGGCTGAGCTTGTCTGTGTTCCTTAGAGGGCTCTCATTTCTGATGATTCACGCTGTTTCTATCCCCTTCATTTTCGTCATGGCTTGTTTCTGCAGGCCTGGGGATGGTTATCCCCGTGAACGACCTCCGTGGCTCTGCCTCTGTGGCTTATGAAAAGGGCGAGAAGCTCATGCGCTCCAAGCTGGCCGCTCTGTACCGACTGGCAGATCTCTTCGGCTGGTCCCAGCTCATCTATAACCACCTGACTGTAAGCTGACCATCAGACATCTGTGGTCCGTCCTCATCCTGTGCAATTTCATATGTACTTTTGTGGCTCAGTACTAGGGCTGCACAATATCACATCACGATGATATGGTACACGGTAATAGATACCGTGGCTTTATATCAGTGTTTCCCAATCTAGTCCTAAGGAACCCACAGTTGGTCCATGTTTTTGCTACCTCTGAGCTCCCTGCCAGACAGTCCACATTTTTGCTCCCTCCCAACTCCGGGATGAAAGTTCCTGAGGACTGGATTGGGAAACGCTGCTTTAGATGATAGGCGGAAACATTTGTCCAGACTCCATCTTTTTGTTACTATATGGACATTTACTTACACCCACAATTTGGTCAGCAGATTAGTAGTATGCGTAAAATCTTAATGAGAGGCCTATTGTGATGTCCAAAAATTCAGCGTATCCTTATGTTTTAATAAACGTATCAGACTTTAAACTAAAAAAGTTCTGCCACATCACTGATGTGGATAAACAGGGTAAAAAGACATCTCCACTTTCAAAATACATTGTGGCTGCTCAGCTGCCCCTTTCCTCACCACCACTTCAGTGCTAATCGCTTCCATCATTTATCAAACCGGTAGCATGTGGAGTTCTCCGCTAACCGAATTTAATAAACTTAAGAATGCACCAAATGTATACAGATTACTAACTTTTCGGAGTCACAGTACGCATCTCATTAATAATTTAGGCATACTACTAATCTGCTTATGAAACTGTGGTTGTAATAAATGTTTGCATAGTACTGAAAGGCTGGCATCCGGACAAACGTTTACTCCCGTCATCTAAAGCCCTGATGAGTATTTTGCAGACACCAAATAATCATTTATATCGCATCTTGATCATTATATCGCATCTTGATATTGTGCAGCCCTACTCAATACACTCCACAGCTGCATACTTCTGTAGACATTTAAGGGCCTGAAATGTGTGATATATCTAAATGTCCTGGCATCCCATAAACTGTGTGCCCCAGCCATGTGCCCTGTGCTGCCTGAGATGGTCTCCAGGCCCCCTTGTACTTCAGACTGGGATAAGCGAATCAAAAGATGGATGGATGGATGATTCTCAATGTCACATACACCACCAGTATACAAACATTGACTATGATGTAATCCTGTAGCCCTTGAGTAACTGGAAGTTTGGTTGTAACTTGATAGGATGGTCGTTGCTGTCATGAATAAACAAGCTTTGAAATAATCTGTGAACTTTAAGATCAGGCTGGCAATAGAGCTTTTATGAACCATGTCATGTCCACAGTGTGTTTAAACTGGCACAGTTGCGTGGTGGAGCACATTGAATTCAACAGTTGGTTTCTATCTGTGCTGAAATTGCCCATAAATTATACACATATGGTACAACATTACATCAAGCCAGTTTCCCTCTTGAAAAAACAATCTGCTTGTTTGTTTGAAATGAAGATTCTTTGGTCTCTGTTCAATGATAATTTCCATTTGTATGTACTGTTTGCAGGGATTATAGACTGCAAATTACTGCCTTGTTCAAGCCTGACGTCCATATGGCGGCAATGCCCAGTTTAACGATGGTTTTGTGTGTGTTGTAGGTGCGACTCAGTTCTGAGCAGGAACATTTCCTGGTTGCCCCCTTTGGACTTCTGTACAGTGAGGTCACAGCCTCCAGCCTGGTAAGGTCGTCCCTTGACAAATTTAGCCTAGTAATGCGGAATGGAGTCTTATTGCTAAGTCAGTGGCTAAAACCTGACACAGTTATTTTTATCTATTTGGGCTGTGGAATAAATGGATATTTTTGCAGTGTAGGTTAAGCAGAGGAGAGCAAAAATTCTAGAGTTTGTGAGTCTGGAGTAGTGTTTGTCCAGCATGGATTTTAGATTTCTATCGTAATATTTCAGCCCGTCGTTGCAGTTTAACATAGCGGGTAGAGCAGATTGTGTTTCATTGCAGGTGAAAGTTGACATGCAGGGTGAGATTGTAGACAGAGGGAGTACTAACCTCGGCGTGAACCAAGCTGGATTCACCCTTCACTCGGCCATCTATGCGGCCCGGCCTGACGTCAAGTGCATTGTCCACATCCACACAGCAGCTGGCGCCGCGGTAACGACCTCCACTCCCTGTCGCTGTGTCTGCCTCTAGGATGGAGACTCTTATTCTCTACCGGAATATTTTCTGTTTGAGTCAGTACATTTGGTCCTTTGTGTCAAGCTGCAAGTTTAAAACCTAGCAAATGAAATTTTAGATATTGAGCAAATGAGCCCATATGTCTCAACAGATGTGATTTGGCCTCTTACAAATGAGGTTTTTAGTAATTATTATTTTAATCAATGCATGATTAGTGCTGCATGTTTTCACTGGGCTCTCTCTGTGCCCCCTCCAAGGTATCAGCCATGAAGTTCGGCCTCCTCCCCATCTCACCGGAGGCCCTCTCCCTGGGTGAGGTGGCCTATCATGACTATCATGGCATCCTGGTGGATAAGGAGATGACCCTGGCTATACAGAACAGCTTAGGTCCCAAGAAAAAAGTATGAAGGGTGTTTGAGTGTGTCAGCGGGCGGGTTTTTCTGCATTTCTGGGGAGAAAAACAGGGAACGGTAAACACTCCTGTCTTTCAGGTGCTCATACTGCGGAATTATGGCCTGCTGTCGATTGGGGAGACGGTGGAGGAAGCTTTCCACTACATTCACAACCTCGCTACTGCTTGTGAGATTCAGGTAGCGAAGCAGACGATCTGAGCGCCAGTGTTCCGTTGGATTTGAAGTAGGATTTAAAGTCTCTTCCAATCCCCATGCCCCTGTGTGCCGTTAAGTGCTGTACATGACATGGTCGCTCAATAAGATGGTCAATAAGACTCTCCTATAGATCGTTTGAGCGGAATATCTTCAGAATCAATTGTTTTGCAAGGACAATAAGCTGGCATTATGCTTAGTTACCTTTAGCAACCGGGTTATAGAGTGTAAAAGCAATTTTTAATGTGAGCGGATGGAGCATTTAGATTTGCAGCAATTTGAAAGCTGACTTTGTAAATATCCATCAGTTAAATGGGACTTAATGAAGTCTGATTCTCAAGTGACCGATCAGGAAGTCCTTGCCAGCTGAATTATTGGGTAGGAACTTGTACCGGGATCTATAGCAAACCTCGTCTGCCACCAGTTTTCTGGTGGTTGCATTGTGACCCTTTTTCTGGTTCCAGGTTCGTACCTTGGCCGGTGCTGGGGGCCCCGATAACCTGGTCACTCTGGACCCAGAGAAGTACAAAGCCAAACGGCAGAGTTCAGAGTCGGGCGATGAGGAGGCCGAGGGCGACCAGCCGCGCTGGCAGGTCGGGGAGCAGCAGTTTGAGGCTTTCATGAGGATGCTGGACAACTTGGTATGAGCCGCCAAACCCCGCCCACTGCCAACACTCTCAGGAGTTCCTACCCATGTGCAGTGGTGGTGTTCACCCTTCACTCAAACCATGCATTTGTGAGGGCCCCCCCTGTTGACCACAGACAGTCACTACACTTGAAGTGGCTCTTTGAGCAGGGCCCCAGAAGAAACAATCCCGCCCTGCCCATGTGCCGCAAATAGATGTGAATCCAGACTTCCAGTGGTAATAAATTTAGAGTAATTTAAGTTGTTCATAGATGTCAGTTTCCTGCTTTAAAACAGACCACTACCTAGCTGATGTGGAGAGAGTAATTTTGGTTCTTCCAGTGGGGATTTACTGCTTTATTAGGCCCACATTAAAGTAGCAAAATTAGCCTAAAAACTTTTTGAAGGACGAGTGACTTGGATCTCTCTAAAGCCCCGAACCTCAAATTTGGATAAAATGAAAACTGCACGGGGCCCACAGAGAGACTTGCTCTTGCAGTGCACTGCAATGCCTTTCCTTGTTTTTACCAAGGGGTACAGAACAGGATATCCGTATCGCTGTCCAGCCCTGTGCGCCAAGAGTAAGAAGAACAGCAGCGTTGACATGCCCCTGGCCCTCACTGGTCGCTCCTACAGCGAGATCAACGGCCCCGGTACCCGCTCCCTGCCCAGAATCGGCGGGGCGTCACGGCGGCTCAGCGCGGGCTCCTCTGACGGTGGCCCCGGTTCCCGGGTGTGGAACAACGTCACGCGCGGCCATGTGAAGCCCTTGCTCAGGTCTCTCTCATCTGGAGTCTGCGTGCCCAGCTGCATGACCACCTGCCTGGTCTGTATATTTCCTCTCTTCACACTCTCTGCTATTAGATGTTTGCTCACGTTTATTTCGCTGTTTTTTTATTTTTCTTTCATAGATTCAGTTGCTTGTCTCTTTGTTCCTTTAACAAAACATTCTGCTAGTCTTTCTGTGGTGTTTTATCTAGGCCTTTAATACCACCAGTAGCATATACAGGGGCGGGGCCACAGGAGGTACTGTCACCAACTGAAAGCTGATTGGCCCCCAGAGTTCACCCTCACCTATCACTCACCAATTCAAAACGTATCATTGGCTAATAATAAAATTGCCTCCGCTGTATGAATATTGCTCCTCTTAAGCTCTCCTCTCCCCCCCACCCTTAAAAAAATCCTGGAATCACCCCTGAACACCACCCTTTCCTGTTTTTGGATTTTGCCAGTATTATCTTTCACATCATAATAATGAAAATATGACTACACCTACTTTAATGTGGTCACTGGACATAAGCAGTGTTTCCATTAGCTGGTGCAGGTTCCTGTTTTGAATGTGAAAAGGGATTAATGAAAACAGTCATCAACATGTTCCGGTGGATCAGCTGAACGCTGTACCTGTGTGCTGTTCTTGTCTGTGTTCTACTTTATGGGCTACCAACTTTACTTTTTCATGTGCGCTTTCGGTTGTAGCCAAGGGGACATGTAATAAATTTCATCATCAGGGGTTGGCTGCAGTGGTTGTTGCGTCTGTAGCCCAGATTTTTATGTCTAGCAGAAATCTTGCGGCTCTGTGTGTGTCAACCGCTCATGTGCAAGATAATTGATTAGGTATATTCAGTAGGTGGCAGCACTGACTTTCACAGATCAGTGGTCAACAACAAAAGAGCAGAAGAAGAATAGTCGTAGTAGTTATGCTGAGCAGCGGTATGGGAAAGGTTGGAGGTATTCAAGTATTTAATTTTTCATACTATTCATTCATTATACCAACATACACGGTATTTTAAAAAGCAGCGCTATAGACTAATAACCTTAAAACTGTTGATAAAAGTTTACCCGTTTCACTACACTGGTTGAATTTGTGTTTGTTGCAAATACATCTGCCCTCTCCTGGTCTGGTGGAGTATCACTGCTGTATGCGGCCGTCCGCGTCTGCAGCCAAATGTAGTGTGAACACAAGCTGCCCCACAGATGTCCGTCCGCAGCCTTAAAGCGCAGGGAAGCGTACATGGAAAAGCGAAGTATGAATTTGCCATCACTCCCCCTCAGCCTTCTGGGGGTTTGTGTGTGTTTTTTAATGCTGTGCTTAGGTTTGGTTTAGTTACTTACATTACCTTAATTAATTAATCGGAGTACTTGCAACCCTTTTAATTATAAAAATAGAAACCACTTGAATTTTGCCTTCTGTTAACATTGTATGAACATTTTGAATCTTGTTTATTTTTTGATAGTGGTCAAAGGAGGAAGGTGCTCGGCCTCCTGCTGTGTCCAATCAGTTTGTCCCCCTGAATACAGACCCGAAGGAGGTGCTGGAGATGAGGAACAAGGTGTGGTATAGCCCACAAGGAGCACAGCACGGTGGTCTGTGCTCTCATCTACTCATTAGTATATCATACCTACAGTGGTAGACACCGTAGATTTTGTTTCAGCCAACCAGAGAGTCACATTCAAATAGTGTTCAACTGATTGGTTGACACCAAATGTTGGTCTGGATTTTTACTTGCTGGTCCTGAAATTCCCACCTCTGCATGCCCAGTAGTCCTTAGGCACTGCAGACAGGCTATTCGGGGTGTTTTATGGATTCTACTTTTATTTATTTAATTTTTTTCTTGGTTAATTTTAACGTGACATGACATTATTTAAGCAGCTCTTAGAAACACCACTACTATAACTACCGCCACTATTACTACTAATACTAACACTGCTACTACTACTTTTAAATGACTTTTTCTGGTTTTAGATGCTCGCAGCCAAATCTTCCTTTGTTCTCCTGCACAGATCCGTGAGCAAAACCTACAAGACATCAAAACGGCTGGACCCCAGTCCCAGGTCCTCTCCGGGCCTTTGATGGACCACAGCTTTGGACAGGTGAGTCCGACTGCCTCCCAGCTTCCTCATTCCATTTGGTGCACAGTTTGTCACCTGCGGATGCAGATCCATCCTGATGAGTAACTGTGGTGTTGTTCTTTGACCACAGAGAGGTACTATCTGGCAGGTGAGTGGCCGAGGCCGAGGTGTCCGCACACTGTGTCCCTCAGCGGGTAAAAGGTTTTGCTCACTGCATTTCATGCTTGATCGCCGTCGCTTGAGCTCAGTGGGGGTGCCCATGTTTGGTCTGGCATGACATGGCTCCAAATCACAGACCAACAACCACTGCGTTCAGTACTAGTCAAACTTTCGGGGAAGGATCTGCTTGTGTTTCTGTCTATCGGGTTCTCCTTGTGAACAAAGTTGGAGTTTTCGAAGTTCTGTGAGTTCCGAGGTCACAGAATGCAGACTTGTATAGATGGATAGGTGGCAGATAGACTTCTTATGCCCTGCCAAAAGGCTCCCATTCTACTTATTTGTTAAACTCACTCTTCGGAATGTTATAATGTCTCAAAATATTTCCTGTCTGTGCTGTGTTTATCCACTCCAACTGAGATGTTGCACCTCTCTGGATGTTTGACTAGTAACATTTGAGTTTTATTCTAAATTTTTCTTTTGCATGACAGGACCATCCCATTTTTGTTTGTTGTCCGTTTTTGCTTCCCTTTGCATGCCGTGAGCATTTGTGTGTTTGTGTGGCGACTGGCTGTATGCCCAAATCTGCATGAGCACAGGCCGTGCTCCGTGTCTGTGTACGTGCGTCCGTGTGTGTGTCTTTATGACTGTGTGTGTGTCTTTATGACTGTGTGTGTGTCTTTGTGTCTGTGCATCTGTATGCGAGTGGCTCTATATCCATGTCCACGTGTCCCTGTTTGTGTGTGTGTGTGTCCGTGTGGCGTGTGGCTGTACACCAGGGTCTGTGTGGCGAGTGGATCACGCGTGTGTCTGTGTGTGCACATGTGTCCTTGTGGCGTGTGGCTGTACACCAAGGTCTGTGTGGTGAGTGGATCACGCATGTGTCTGTGTGTGCACGTGTGTCCGTGTGGCGTGTGGCTGTACACCAGGGTCTGTGTGGCGAGTGGGTCACGCGTGTGTCTGTGTGTGCACATGTGTCCGTGTGGCGTGTGGCTGTACACCAGGATCTGTGGCGAGTGGATCACGCGTGTGTCTGTGTGTGTCCGTGTGGCGTGTGGCTGTACACCAGGGTCTGTGTGGTGAGTGGATCACGCGTGTGTCTGTGTGAGCACGTGCGTCCGTGTGGCGCGTGGCTGTACACCAAGGTCCGCGTGAGCGTCGCCGGGGCCCCGTGCCCACCCACCCCTCCGTGACACGCCTCGCCACCTGCACGTGTCCTTGGTAGATGTGGAGGTTTTTACTGACAGCAGGGGTGGGATTGTGTGCCGTTCTCCCCGTTTACTGTTGCAGGACGCCCCCCTGTCAGACTGTACGGACACGCTCGATGGGCTCAATCTCTCAGAGCACGTCCGCGTCCCTGCTAGGGCTGATAGAAAGGTACATGCTGCCATCACCTCGCTCTGCTTTGTCCATGTAACCCAGGACAGGTCCACTAGTCAATTCTCCCCCCCCCCACCCCGCTGTATTTAATACCCAGCTGTGTGATGTAGACCAAACTGATATTATGGTGCCGTTAGCTATGTAATTCATTAAATCACACTGGGCTTAGCGCAGTTTTCATGGAACTTCTAAGGCAATATGCTGTTTTGATACTGGGGAATCATTGGACATTGTGCAGAACATGGCATTTATAACTGTGAGCCTGCACTTCAAAAGGGCTAACAGATAGATCAGTTTATAAAAATCCCAGTTTATAAAAACCTGTTAATAAAGGTGTCACATTTCTGAAGACTTACTTACAGTGTGTAATTCTTATGAATAATTACACGCTGTAAGTAAGTCTTCAGAAATGTGACACCTTTATTAACAGGTCTATTCTAACTGGTCTGGATGCTGTTCAGCCAAATGGCTACTTCAATATTCGTTTAAATACTGGAACTCGTGGCCATAGGTGGAAATTAGTGGGAGAACATTTTAAACTGAATTTGAGAAAACACTTCTTTACACAGCGTGTAGTTAGAGTATGGAATAGTCTTCCTGCTAGTGTAGCGCAAGCTAAAACCCTGGGTTCCTTTAAATCAGAGCTGGATAAGATTTTATCAACTTTGAGCTATTAGTTAAGTTCTCCCCAAACGAGCTTGATGGGCCAAATGGTCTCCTCTCGTTTGTAAGGTTCTTATATTCTTAATATGGAAAGCTGTTAAATGTGAATTGCGCATGCAGTATGATTTAAGACAGTTTCCTACTCTTTTGAGGATCTCGGCAGCTGCAGTTGTTTGTGGGTCTGAAACAGCAGGTGTGGATCTAGGCCTTGGTTAACTCTCAGATGTGTTTCACAGGATACAGTGAAATAGCTTAGCTGTACGATTCAGACCAAACCGATGGGAGCTTTCGGTTTGCTAGCTGGGGATTTCTATCAGCAGAGAGCTTCAGAATTGTCAAGCCGGTAAAACCAGGCAGGTTTGGACTGGAAAACCAGCTCTGGAATGATGACTATGTCATACATCCATAATGTTTCCCACCAGACAACTGAGAACTGCTCTTGTAATAGTTACCGGGGTTTTTCTGTGATGTGCGCAATGTCATAAAATTGAAGGGTCTAACTTAATCTGACTGTTAAATATTAGTTTTTAGACTCAGTGTAACTTTCAGGTAGCTAGAAGATATCACCTTGATTTAGTTACACATTTTATTAGATTCCACTAGATTCCACAATTTCCTCTGAGCTACATAATTTGGAGCACTTAATAATAAAACACTATAAGTAAGTGTCCTTGTATTGTACCTAGATGAGTGTGCTATTAATATGGCTTTTCTATAGTGGAACATTCATTCCCTGTGGGTATCCGAAGCACATTTATAACAAAATAGTTAATTTTCTTTTTTCTCCTCCACATTGGTTGGATATTTGACATTGAGCTTAGAATATGCATCGTTTTTGCTTTTCCTTTTCAGTTAAGTATGGCTGATATTTGAAGTTTTTATATTTTTCAAGATTCCAAGAATATATATTTTTTTCGCTGCAAAAAATGTAAATGTGGTTCCTACATATTCTGATATGTGTGCGATGCATTAATTCAGGTTAAGCTACCGTGCCATCGAGCATTCATATTCCATAGGATTATGCCTGCCTGGTCACCAGATGCTCTTGTAACAAATTTTATGCATCATTATCAGCTGGCTCCAGAATATATATTGCACAGATCAATGCATACTTAGTCTATACATTCTATAGTAGATCAACATGACTAAATGTGTAATGAACTGAAATTAACTTTAAAAGTTAACTTGCTTTTTTGGCATGTTTTATGAACCTTGTCTCTCATTTTTTCTGCATTATTGCCACTAAAAACTTCCAGTGATTGAAATGAGTCCACTTTTTTATGGGAAGGCAAAGGATGGTGCTCTCCTTGTGTAAACTCGGCAGTCCATATGTACAGTTGTAGCACATTGCTCTTTCAGCTTTTGCTAGCTTTGTCCTCTGCATGCAGTTCAAGATTTACTTTGCCTTATGTGCAGTTATGGGGTCTTCAAGTGTGAATTGTACTGAGTCGACATTTGACCTGAACATTCTTAGAGAAATTACCTTTTTTATCTCATATTATGGCATGGTGGTATAAAAAGGTTACTGTGCCTTTAAACTGCTTTGGAAGTCATGCGGAGTTCTGGACTTTCTGGATTACCGTTGTTACTACAAGACAAATTGAAGCCCCCCTGACAAGATACTCTTCAGACTTGTGGCTGTAGGCTAAAAATTCTGCATTTATTTTTTGTGCATATACATGAAGGCATTAAAAAAAAAAAAACTTGTACTTTTTTCACCAACAGGGGGAGCTAGTGACCGCCTCCAAAGCCATCATTGAGAAGGAGTACCAGCCAAAAGTCATAATCAACAAGACTGGTCCGAATCCCTTCAACAGACTGACAGACCAGGAGTTAGAGGAGTACTGTAAAGAAGTTCAGCGCAAACAGAAATGCCCGGAAGGTATGATGTAACACCACAGTGTGAATAGAAGGCATGAAACCATAATCATAAAACTTGTTTATCCCAGTCGGGTCCTCAGGGCATTGCAGACAGTCCATGTTACTGGGAGCTGGGAGGGGGCAGAACGTGCAATACCTGGCAGGCAACTTGGAGGGAGCAAAAATATGGACTGTGGCAGGCAACTCGGGAGCAAAAACGTGTACTGTCTGTGGGTCCCTGAGGACCGGGTTGGGAAACACTGCCCTAATCAATTTAAATTATTAATTGTATGAAGGTGCCAAAGGATAAAAGTTTAAAAATGTCAAAATATCTGCTGGAATTTTGAAGCAATGTGTTTTAGCTCTCCAAGAGAAGGGATTCTTCTCTTGGGATTCTGATGTATTTAAACCATATGTATTAAGAGCACATGACAAAATATTTGAATAAAGTATGACTTGTGGCATGTAATTGGTTGGTAGCTGAATCAGTGGGTCTTTGTCTCCATCCTCAGACCAATCACAAGAGATGGAGGAAGACTCAGAACGCAGGAGCCTGAGCTCTTCACCAATCAAAGAAGACAAAGGTAACAATCTGGGCATGTTGTCCAACCAAATTAAACCTTCTGAAGTGTTTTACTAGCTTAGCTACCAAACTAAATGCAGTTCATCTGGTCTTTGCTATAGTATTTATAAAGCATATTTATATTAAATACCAAAGGCATACTTTAAGTATATTAAAATACCAGGAAGGGTGGTTTAATATTTCAGCGTGACCAGTGATTCGGTTAGGGGCGATTATAGTTTCATTAATAGCTGTGCAAGTAAACGTTAAAAATGAATCACTAGGCAGGATCCAAAATGGTGATAATGATGGAAAACGATTGGGATGAGAATATCACTTAAAGGTGAAACTCAAATGAGTACGTTGCATTTTAAAGTCAGGGTTTATGAATGCGAGGATGATATTTAACGCTGCGTCGAATCCATGGAGTATATAATTAGAGGGGATATGATGGAATCAGTGAGCAAAGATATTAAAAACGTCCAAAAAGCAAAAGCGGCTAATGACACGACCGTTAATGGGTCTGTACAGGTTAATGGATCTGCTGCTGATCTGCAGGCTCAGACACATTTGTGTGTTAGGTTTTGTCAGAGAATCGCAATGAATGAATGAATGAATGAATGAATGAATTAATTAATTAATTGTTACATACATGCCTGCATGCACTATTTATATAGTGCTTTTCAAAATACCCAAAGTGCTTCACAGAAGCAATGAGGAGCCACTTGAACCACCACCACTGTGTAGCCCCCACCTGGATGACGCTACAGCAGCCATTCTGCACCAGTACGCTCACCACACAGCAGCTACGGTGGTGAAGGAGCAGGAGACAATTCACCAGTTAGATACAGGGGATGAATAGGGCAATTTTAGCCAGGGCATCGGGGTACCACCCCTACTCTTTCAGAAGATGCCCAGGTACCTTTGATAAAACAGAGGCCATGACTCTGAGGTTATGTCTCAACCAAAGGATGGAACTATTTTTACAGCACAATGCCCTGTCCGCATATTAATACTCACCATGTGATTTCTCGAGTTAAGGGAGTGAAAGGGTCATTTTAGCTTTCCGCTGACATCTTCCTGGGGCATTTACTGTACTTGCCCTTCCTTGTGATCTTCCTGCTTCTCGTGTTATACTTACGATTCCTGTCTGTGCTTCTTTTGATTCATCAGGATCAGAGGATGGGGATGATGAAAAAGATTAGTTTGCCATAGTAAGTCTCCTCATCCCTCACATTCTTCCCGCTGAAACCTTGCATTACTTTGATATTCACACTTTTTTAAATTCTTGTTGTTCCCTGAGGTACTTTTACCATCCTCTGCAAAACCACCTACCCCAGCCAATTAAAAGAATCTCACTGCAGGTTTTGACATGCTTTTCTAAAGAGAAAAAACTAAATTAATTGTCATACATGGTTGTGGAGAGGTTTCATGGTTCCTTCTGTTCTTGGAAGGCTGTGTGATGCAATTCTGGCACGTCTGCCCTCTGGCTTTGTGTATTATATACAAATGGGACGGATCATAAAGGGAGTTGCTTTGTGTTCTGCAGTCATTTCGTGTTTGTATCATAATGACTGGAAGAACTTCTTTGAAGAGATTTCCACTGTGTTTAGACACAGGAGACCCAGCTGTACTGGCTTTGTGCAGGTGATTAACGTTGCTTTTCTTCTACTCCTTAAACTGACTTTTCAGAGGCGCAGCAGAAGCCAGCCCAGGTGTGACCATCTTGTGATGTCTCTCTCAATCTAGTCCTGCTCAGTAACCCAATCAACCCCAGGTCCTGGAGATTCTGCCGGCTCTGGTTCAGGCCAATACTCCTCAGGAGAAAACAACTGTGCTGCGGATCCTTAACTGTCCTTGTATTTAATGGGCACCATCTTCCTTTCATTTTATAGCCTCTCTGATTACCTGCTCCATCTTCTGATTGGCTGTCCCCAAGGCCTAACTTCGGGTTAGCCACCACTCATTGCTGCAGGCCAAAGCATATGCAGGCTTTTTGCCAGACCAACTTTTGTTAGCTATGAAATGGGCAGTTTCTCTACAGGAGTAATTCATTTAAAGCTAATAGGCATAAATTCATATTCAGTAACAGTAACAAATGTATGGGGGCCCAAAAGCCTGCGTATAGCACCACCTGCAGGAAAGAGTAGAGAAGGGTTAGTGCATTTTATCAGTCGACATCAGGAAATGTAACTAAAAGAAGTTAAAAAGAAGGCACATTAATCAGTGGTGGTGTGTGGCTGTATCTGGAACGTGTTAACCCTTTACCACCCGTGAATCCCTGCTTCAGATTCTTTCATGTTTCTGTAATCAATACTAGAATGACCGGTTGGGACTGAACTGTATTTAGACGTGTTAACCTTTTTAAGTTTGGTTTTCAGATATGTATGAATGTTTGTGAGGGTCAGTGTTAAAAAAAAAAAAAAGACAAAACTGGGGGGTTGGGAAAATGCTGCATGAGAGTGTATATCGCCTTACTGTTTGCTTAAGGAATATTACAAACGCAAAGATCCCTGTAAATGACACACTGAAGCCGTTTGAGCTTCACCTAGCAAGTACCAAGAAGCTTCAAGGGAACACAAAATGTACATTCAGAGAAGCGATCTAGAACATTGTTTGTTTTTTCCTGAGCCTTTATAATGCTCCTGTTAATTTAACAAGTCTGCCCGTTCTGTGGGCTTTGTTTTTGTCCCTCACATCCTTCTTTGTAAACTCATGCCACTGAAGTGTGGGGAAACTTCCAGGGTGGTGGTTCTGTCTGGTATGCTGGACCTATCATGTTCAGTATCATTTGCATCAGGTGTCTTCCTTGATCTAATACCTTGTTAAACAGTAATTTGACCCCTTGATCCTGTCTGCATCCTTTATGTAATCAGTGTCAGCCCCTTGATTTGCTCTTGCAGAGGTACCTAATAAACCAGTCGCTGAGTTTATTTAACAGATGTATTTTTGTTAAGATAAATTAAGTCCAGGCGTTATTCTTACAGCTCTTAATTCCTTAACATGACAAAGCAATTAAGTTTAACTAGAGTTCTCTTAACCAAATATCAAATGCCTTCTAAAAGTACAAAAATGGTGGAAAAACCTTCAATTTTGTTACTTCCTGTGAACAGGAGCAGTCTGCTATGGGCTGAAAGACGGTCCAATACTCTTTGAGCTGCCATTTCTCAGGTCCTGTGAAGTGTAGTGAAATGTCTGCCATTGAGTACAAGTTATGGTTCCATAAACCCATTTCTAGATTAATTTGTGGTTTATAACTACAGGTACTACAGGTACAATACCGAATATGATTTAACTAAGGTGGCTCCTATGGCCAATGAAGGTTCCTTAGTTCCCACTTAGTTCCTTAGCCTTCCCATTACCAAAGGAAAATCACCTTTGGAGAATCGAGTCAAAGCAGAATTATCCTGAGGAGCTAAAGTATGAGCGGCAATTATTCATTAAAGAATAGTTATATGTAGAGTGAAAACTGAAGTCAAGCACAGAGCCTCCTACAGGTAGCCATAGCAGAAGATCCCTGGGATGAGATTGATGTAGATATGAACTTTGACCTGATGCCCACTTCAGCCTATAAGGTGCTTGGTATGGTATCAATGCATCCAACCACTAGGCTGTTACAGTAAAATCCCGTTATAGTGGATAAGTAACGGACATGCAGGCTCCGCCTACAAGGCGTGTGGCGTGCCGGTGATATCCAGCGCAGATACGTACGCAGTCGGGATTATTAATAGTCACGCATCTGGTCAGGTCAAGTTGGATTACTACATGTACAATATAATAATCTATACCACAGGTGTGTCTGCTGGGGTGTGGCATGAGTAAATGGTGTCCTGTAGTTGTGTTCTGGACATACAGCAACTCTGGATATAACGGACTTTGGATATAACAAACTGTTTTGCCAGGTCCCTTGAAGTCCGTTATAAGTGGATTTTACTATACTCTGCACAGTGGTACAGTAAGCTTACAAGATAATCAGAATAGTAATATTGAACCCATCCCACATTGCAGGGTTATTTTTTGAGTGACCTATGTCAGCTTATGACTAGGAATAACCAGATTAAGTTGGAATAAGAGCCAGGAAAGGTCATTGAAAGATGACTTTTCAGGGTGGAGAACCTGTTTATTGTGTAGAATAGGCTCATTGGGAGGATGTCATAAGGCACCCACATCCTTCGCAATTACATTCTGACCTCCAGTCATTTGCTGGATTGGGTGAGGATTGTATTGATGGCTGTCTGTGCACCACCTGGAACAGCAGATGAAATGCTGAAGAAGCTGGATGCCGGTGGGTCATTTTTCGACATGCATCTCTCCCATAGTACCATCTCAGTCAAAGCTTTCATTTCATTTCTCTTCTGTTCATGAATAAAGTCTTTGATGCGTGAGCAAGACTGAATAATATCAGATTGAAATGGTATGACTTTTACAGAGCAATCAGTAGTGCTTGTGTTTTCCTGTGCATTCCTGTGAAGTCACTAAATAGGTTTAACCATTGCGAGCAAAAAGCATATCCTACCAAACTGCAGAAAATAAATGTCCAGCTTCATAGTGTTTGATCTTTAGATTTAATAACAGGCCAAGATTTCACCTGATGAACGACAGGCGGAAAACTATTTTTGCTGACTGTATTAATCTGATAGCGCATAATTCATCATGTTTAAGAAGAAAAAACTGCAGCAAAGCACACCCTCAGAGCCTCAGGCAGCTGGTCAGCAGCTTCCTGAATGAGTCGGACATTGATAAATAACCATTTGTATCATCTACATTTTAACGGTAGAAAAATATTTGTAAATACTGCAAGCCAGTGACATTTGAAAACGTTCACACGCACAATGTTATAGTACAGCTCCCGCTACACAATGGTCAAACTGCGCTTTAGTGGCCTGAAATCAACGTACTGAAAGTGAGCTGAAAGGTCCATCGCGGCAAACTGATGTTAACATCGGAGTTTATGTTTCCACAAAGAAACTGGAGAGGAAGTTCAGCTAAAAAGGCATATAAAACGTCTATAAAAAGCACAGTGCGGTGTCCGTCCCTGGAGCAGAGAGCAGTGCCACTGTCCAGCCCTTTGATAACAACCACGTTCTCTTTCTGCTCGTCCTCCACCTGCATCCGAAAGTCACTCCCTTTTTGAGTCCCTCAGTCTCTTCATCAGGACCAGGGGAATAAAAAAGAAGACAGAGGCAACAATGTAGCAAGTCTGGGCTCCAGCCAACCAGTACACTGTAAAAAAAAAAAAACAAAAAACACTTCCTTTTTTTACAGATTCCAGCTACAGACATAACAATCACTTGGAACAATTCACATATTGCACCGTTTAGGCTGGCTAACATAATATGTAGCATCTTGAACTAGCATTTTACAGTTTATTTAACCATTAGCTTGACGTTATTCTTGACATTTATTTTATAGCAGTAAATCCATTAGGAGGACAATGTGAATCCTGACATAGTGGCTCTCGAGGATGTAAGTGGTCCTGCATGGTACAGCCACCCACCAGGGACACATCTCTGGCTTTTTAAATGGGGCTGAGCTTCAGGGGAGCAGCGGTACTGACCTGAGGACGCCACCACAGGTCCAAGAGCCCGAGCCAAGGCCCCGAGGCTGCGCAGGATCCCCATCACCGTGCCCTTCTGACTGACCGAACCTGAGGACGGGTAATTTCACAGGCTGCTAAAATCCGACAGACGCGCAAAAAGAAGAGAGTGGTCTCTCGCACACACTTCTATAAACCTAAGGTTGTCCGCTCACCGTGCTCGGAGACGAGAGTTGTCAGGCAAGGCACGACGACAGCAGCAGCTGCGAAGGAACACAGAATAACCAGGGGGCAGGAGTGAACTTCACAGGCATGAACAATACCGGGGGATTAAAACACACAAGTTTTCAGTCGACACTTATCCAAAGCTATTTGTGCTATTTTCCTCACTAGTATGTTGCTTTGAACAAAAATACCTGCCAAACAAAAGTAAATGTAAAGCGATGTACATTTTTTTTGAGAAAGCAAGACCAGCCAGCCCCTGGGGCAAGAGGGGATTGGGGGTCTTGCTCAAGGGCCCAACGATGAAATCACTCCACTAACAGGACTGGAACCAGTGACACAGGAACAGCATCGTAACTCACTGAGCTTAACCCCCTCCATGGCTGACCAGGTCTCCATTGCTAGTTTCTCTCACTCTGCATCACAGTTTGTTCCAGCTCATGAATGTTTGCAGGATTCTTTCTCCAGAACAATAGTTTTCAGTTCTTTCCAAAGATTTTCTACTGCCAGTTTAAAATGTTTTTTTTTCCTCTCTCAGCCATTCTTTCGTGATTATTGGTGTGTGCTTTGGATGGTCGTTCTGCTGGAGCACCCACCATCTTTGACCCAAACTTAGTTTTCTGACACTGGGTAACACAGTTCTCTCTAAAATTCACTCTCATTTCAATTTCCTTTAATATATTCAAGGCCCCCAGCATTAGAGGCACAGTATTACAGATCCTTCACCATATTTATCATAAGCTTCAACCCGTTTTCTCTAAACAAATAGCTAATCTTCATTGCCAAAGAGCTCTACTTTGGTTTCATCTGTCTGTAGAACATTTTCCCGGAAGGGTTGTGATTTCTCTAGGTTTCAGCAAAGATCAGTCATGCCTTTTAATGTTTTTCTTTTAGCTGTAGTGTCCTCCTTGGCCTTGACCCAAAAAGCCCTTCTTGATTTAGTGGGCGATGTGTGGTACGAGTTGAAACCATCAGTCCAGATCACTCCAGGTCAGCCTTAAGCTCTGTGGATGTTTTATTTAATGTTTTTATTCCACAGTTTGCGCCAACCTTTGAAGACTTCCTTGATCGATTTTCCTTTGCCCTCCACATTCCAGAAGGTTCTTGACAGTTCTATGACCAGCAAACCTCTGAATAACACTGTTGGAACATGCCAAATCTTTCGAGATGGCCTTGTACCCTTTAGAATTCTTTTGTTTGGTGATAATAGCATTTCTGATGCTCCCAGATAACTAAAAGTGGCCATTCTAAGCATTAAAGGCATCTTTCCTTGGGTAATTCAAGTCATGTGAGCACTAAAAATTTGTTACAGGTGAGTTTTATTTCACTACAGTGACAATCTAGTTCTATTTGTTAAAAGGATTTGAATTTTTCAAAGGACTGTGTCATTACAGTGTTTCCATTTTTATAATTTTTCCTCCCGTGCATTTCAAAATTCTTATCCTTTGCTGTTCTGTATCAAACACAAGAGTGCATTTAGACCTAAACTGTTTCACTAAACATTTTAGGAGGTAGTGTAAACGCTGACCGTGAAATTCAGGTGACAGTAATGTTGACTAGAACTGTATAAAAGCTGAAGAAACATGTCTGAAGGTTAAGTGTGAGGACGGCCCTCCCGCCCGCGTTCGGGGAGCTTACCAAATGAGTACAGCAGCAAGCCCGCATACAGCATCAACATGTTCCAAGCCAGGCCAATGAGTATGAAGGCTGGGATCAGCAACAGGACTGCCTGAAAAAACAGGGGAGACACAAATACATTTTGCTGTAAGAGACTAAAAAAAAAAAAAACTGCACGTTTGCCCGACTGTCTGATTAAAGTATTATTTTAAAGCAAGTAATCTAGGTGGTCAGGTTTATGTAGCGTGATACCAAGTGTTTACCATTTGGACGGTCTTGATCTGGTGCCCAGGTTTAATCCTGCGAGCATAACCCCCTTGGATTGTTGCCATGGTGATTCCAATGAAGAAAAACATCTTTCCCTGTTGCATGCTGGGAGACAGGAAGCAGGTTTCTGAGACGATGCTGACTATGACGACGTGTATAGGCGTAGCATCAGAGCGGTGCGACCTAGCGTTTACGATGAGGAGCTACTCCTCTTTGGTATGGCTCTTACCCAGTGAAGTGGAAGCGGTGGTGAGTGAGGAAGCTCAGTGTGTACTCCAGCCCGGAGAAGAGAAAGA